TATGTCAATACCATACTGTTTTGATTACAACAGCTTTATAGTAGCGTTTGAAATCAGGTGGTATAATGCCCTCAGCTTTGTTCTTCTTTTTCAAATTTGCTTTTGCTATTCAGTGTCTTGCGATTTCATATTAATTTTAGGCTTCTTTTCTCCATTTCTCTAAAAAACATTTCATTGGAATTTTCATAGGGATTATATTAATCTGTAAATTATTTTGAGTAATATAGACATTTTAACAATATTAACTTGTTCAATCCATGAACATGGAATATCTTTGCATTTATTTGTGTCTTCTTCAACTTTATCAACAATTTATATTTTTTAGTGTTCAAGTCTTTTACTTCTTTGGTTAAGTTTATTTCCAAGTATTGTATCATTCTGATGTTATTATAAATAAGTTTTTTTCTTAATTTCCTTTTCACATAGTTTGTTGTTAGTGAATAAAAATGCCAATGATTTTTGTACATTGATTGTATAACTTTACTGTATTTGTTTATTAGTTCTAACAAGTTTTTGTGGCATCACTGAGATTTTCTACATAGGAGATAATGTCATATGCAGATAATTTTTACTTCTTCCTTTTTATTATTTACTTATTATTGATACAAAATATTTTACATATTTATGAGGTACATATGAGTATCTGTTACATGCATAGACTGCAATGATGAGGTCAGGGTATTTGGGGTATCCATTATCTTGAGCATTTATCATTTCCATGTGTTGATAAGACTTAAAGTCCTCTCTTTTAGCTACTTTGAAATTACAACACCTTGTTGCTAACTATAATCACCCTACGCAGTTCTCAAATATTGGGGCTTTTTTTTTAAATCTAACTGTATGTTTATCTCACTGACAACTTCTTATGTATTTCCTCCTCCTATCCACACACCCTTCCCAGCCTCTGATGTTTGTCATTCTATTCTCTATCTTTATGAGATTTTTCTTTTTTTAGTTCCCACATATGAGCAAGAACATGTGGCATCTGTCTTTCTGTGCCTGGCTTATTTCACTTAACATAATGACCTTCAGTTCCATTCATGTTTCTGCAAATGACTTGATTTTTTTATTTTATATGACTGTATAGGAGTGGGTATATACCCCACATTCTATTTATCCATTCATCGATTGATGGTCATTTAAATTGATTCCATATATTTAACTCTTTATAGAATTCTTTAGGCTCATATTATTTTGGATACATTAGGATTTATGAGTTGAAATCAGATGTCCATTTTCCTTCCCCAGATTTGGGTGGTTTTCAGGCATTATTTCTTTAAATAAGATTTCTGTCTCTTTTTCCCTCTCTTCTCCTTCTGGAACTCTTGAAATGCATATGTTAGCTCCTGTGATAGTATCCCATAATTCTGTTATGATTTCTATACTCTTTTTATTCTTTTTTTTCTTTTTGCTCCTCTGACTGAAGAATTTCAAATTACTTGCCTTCAAGTTCGTTGATTTTTTTCTTTTACTTAATTAAATCTACTGTTGAAACTCTCTATTGATTTTTTCTTTAGTTCAGTTATATTTTTCAGTTCCAGAATTTCTTTTTGGTTCCTTATTATTTTTATCTCTGTTAATATTCTCAGTTTGTTTATGTAATGTTTTCCTCTTCCATTTAGTTACATATCTATGTTCTCTTCTAACTCAGTGAACTTTTTAAGACAATGATTTTGAACTCTTAGTTGGGCAATTCAAAGATCACCATTTTTTAGTTTCAATTAATAGAAATTTAGTTTGTCCTTTTGATTGTGTGGTGATTTCCTGATTATTCGTGTTTCTTGTAGCTTTGCACTTGTGTCCGTGTATCTGAAGAAACAGGTCTCTCTCTCCCACTTTTTAGGGACTGGCTTTGATTAGGAGAGATCTTCACCAGTTAGCTTGGCTAGAGAGATTCTAGGCCTTTGTTCCTAGTTGCCTTCAGCATCCAATCTTTTTTTGTTTTTATTCAGAAGCCCATAATCTCTTGCTTCTTCTGGTATCTAACTGACTATGTTAGTTCTATCGATGCTCTGTGTGAGGTAAGATGGAAGCTAGCCCCTTGGGCAATGCACTGAAAGGCTGGGTACACTGGGAGCATGCTCCACTCTTCCCTTTTCCCCTTGGTGTAAACCCTCAGTCATACACACTTTTCCAGTCTTGCAGAGTCATGCCAGCCACAGATTCCGTGAGCATCTAGACTATGCCAGTTCCTTCAGTGCTCCAGGGGCTGAAATCAGCCTCTCAGGGAGCATACTACAGGGCCAGAGACATTAAAGCCATACTTCATTTTTCCCTCTGTCCTGGAGGAGAGGCCTCAGTTATATATCTTCTCCATGACCCCCAGAACCATGTTGGCTACACGAAAGCTTGTCTACTAGCTTCCCCAGGCATCCAGATTGTACCAGAACCTTCAACACTCCATTGACGTGAAACAGAAGCCAGCACCTTGGGGAGTGCACTGAAAGTCAAGAGAGATTGACGTTTGCCTCCCTCTAGCCCTTCTTTCTGGAGAGGAGTTGCAGTATCTCTAAATGCTTATGTACATTGGCTTGGGGGAAAGGCTGACATAGGTAAAGTAAAATTGCTCTTCACATTTGTTTTGGTGCAGCTGATCCCAATTTTGTATTCATCTGGGGTACTGTAACTGCTTAATTGGATTCTGGATTTTTCATAAGGTATTTTGTTACTTATATTATTATCAAATTTATGTTTCTGTCAGGGACAACAACTACCGATTTCTATTATGGCACCTTTTGACATCACTTTCTGTTTTCTCTTTTTTAAAAAAGATACACTCTATTTTCTTCTCTGGGCACTATCATAGTCAAGTGAGATGCTTGTTGCTACAGCAGGCATCTTATGATTAGCTTGATAATTAATGGAAAAAACCTGGGACTTAGATGATGTCATTGAGCAGATGCAGCTTGTAGCCTGTGGCTACCCTTCCCTTTGACTTCTTGTTATCTGAGACAATAAATATCCTTATTAAAACAGTCAGCTAGGTCAGGATTTTCTATGACTTGTTGCTTCAGAGCATCCTAACTGAAACAATATTTTGATGTTGCTTTACCTAAGCTGCTAAGTTTACTTAAACTGCTAAATCTCAGCCTTCATTCTCCTGAATTTTTACAGTGTTAGGTTTTCTTGGCCTCGCCACTCAATATTTTCTTCTTTGTTTTGGAGGAGACTATACACTCTAGGCTTTATTCTCATATTTTGTGACATTTCTTCCTTGATTCCATTTCTCCTTCAGCCTTTGATGTGTGGCCACATCAAAGTTCAATATCTGACCTTTTGCTCTGCTTCCTCTGCATGCTGAACCAATTTTCAGTTTAATCTTGCAACTCTGAGCATGTGGGTAAACACCATGCCGACAAGACTCTGTTTCAGTTTTAGTCCCACATCTCCCACTGTCTGATGGACTGTTCTATCTGGACATTCCATGATATCCCAATATTGACATATCCACAAGCAAAATTACAACCTTTCTCCAGAAGCCCAGTAACTCTGCAAGACTGTATTTCTCTCAGTGCCACAGATATACTCTGAGAATCAAACTTCAAAGTCATTTTTTATTGGGCCATTACCTACTCTCTATAAAGATAGTCATCAAGCATGAAGAACCCACTTAGGCTATCTATCATACTTTTTGACTTGCCCTTCTGCCTCTACCTACATTGTTACTACAGAATCTGCCATCTTTATCTAAGATCTGCCTCCTTGCCACTATTCGTTGGCTTAGGGGTTGAAACCGAATCCAAGCTATGGTCCCAATGACGGTTCATCCCTGAGTACTGGCAACTTAGATCACTCCCTTTCTAGGTGCCTAGACTTAAATTTGGGAGTTGTCAGTGATCAGGTTTGCTATCATATGGGTGGGATAAGTTGAAGAAGCCTGACTGAAGAGAGAGAACAAGTAAGAATTAGCAAACAGAGAGAGGAGCAGAAATTTTAAATGGAGAAAACATCTGATGAAGCTCTAAACTTGATTCCAGTTGTTTCTGCAATCTAGCTTTAGTCCTCACCCTGAAATCTACAAGATATCCCCAAGTCCTTACAATGAAATCCCTTTTTAAAAATAAATTAATTCAAACTCAATTTCTGTTATCTGCATTAAAAAAGATAATGTGTAAGATCTTACTGATATTTTCTTTGAAATAGTAGTTACCTTTCCATTCTCCGAACATCTACTTTAAGTTCTAGTCCCCAGTAGGCTCCTAACTACATTCCCAACCTCCAATATCTTTGCTGCCTGATCTGTCATGTGGTCCAATTCAAGGTTAACCTTCTTAAATATTGTTTTGCATATGCTATTCCCTTTCTGAAAAATCTTTCATGGATCCCTATTGCCTATGTAATTTAGTACAATCTAACATTTATTTTTACTTTGCATAACCAGCTATGCAAAGTCTTTGATAATGTGGTTCATACACTTTTCAAACTTCTTCCACATTTTACAATGTGAATCTTCTGCTTCAGCTAATTTTGTCTTCTAATTTTTTAGCATGTTATGCAAAATTTGATGTCTTTCACTTCGCTTACATTGTTTTCTCTGACAGAAAAATTTTGTCCCACCATTCTGCTTATTTATTTTATTTTATTTATGTATTTTTTTTTTTGAGACGGAGTTTCGCTCTTGTTACCCAGGCTGGAGTGCAATGGCGCAATCTCGGCTCACCGCAACCTCCGCCTCCTGGGTTCAGGCAATTCTCCTGCCTCAGCCTCCTGAGTAGCTGGGACATTCTGCTTATTTATAAACAATCTATCTTTAATGCACAATTCAGACTGTCTCTCTTTTTTTTTTTTTTTTTTTTTTTTACTACTTCTATTTATCAAAACATCATCTCTCTTTGGGGAACCTTGGAGTGGTAGAGTGCAATGTTTTCACAACTTTTTTCTTCTTCCACAACTTTGCCATGATTTACTGTGAGATGAGTATACTTCTTCACCTCCATTTATTTTGGGTTTGGCCTTATGATGTATATTGGCCACTGGAATATAAGCAAACATGACAATACCTTTTCTCCGGTTAAAGTTTTAAGAAGTATGGAGTTTCCACCAATCTTCTTGGCACTGCAGATCTTTGCCAGGTGAAGACCATAATTCAAGCAGCCAGATGAAAATTCATGGAGCAGACCTGAACCCAAACAGAAAATGAAATCAATATCAGCCCAGCTGAGTCTAGCCGAAGATCAGCTGGATCGCAGTTTAAGTTAAAAGTCATGAGAAAGAACTGAGCGTTTACTGTTTTAAACCACTGAGGTTGTAGGTTGGGGCAATGGGTTGCTTGTTACACAGTACTGTAACAGAAAAAAATACTCCATGCTACGCTCTTAGTTTTTTGAACAAAGGTACATGGTTGGTTCTAAAAAGGTCTCTAAGTATGCTTAACCATAGATTGAAGTAAAGACTGAAAACAACTTTTTTCCCCTCAGGTGAAGCACTGCTAGAGTCTCCTTAGGGAGACTTGCTGTGTTTTATGAGATCTATCATTGTCAAGTTAATTGTCAATGATGTGGTGTCCCGAAACAATTTGCAGAAATGATAGATTATAGGTAGTATGTGTCCCTCTCTGATGATGTGACTTGCTCATTGTTCAGTTGGAGAAAATAATTCTCCACTGTTGCGAGAGAGAACATGTTCATGAAATGTCTGCTGAAAAATGATTGAACTTAATTTCCTTCTCCCACAACATGTGTACTTTCTGACGTGGGAATGAACCAACAGTCCCACTCTCTGTTGATGGATGAGAAGAATTTGGAAGATTTGAAATCCTAGCACTTTGGGAGGCCAAGGCGGACAATCACTTGAGCTCAGAAGTTTGAGACCAGCCTGGGCAACATGGCGAAACCGCGCCTCTACCAAAAATGCAAAAATTAGCCGGGAGTGGTGGTGCATGACTGTGGTCCCAGCTACTCAGGAGGCTGAGGTAGGAGGGTCACTTGGACCTGAAAGAGGGATGTCGCAGTGAGCCAAGATTGCACCACTGTACTCCAGCCTGGATAACAGAGGGAGACCCAGTCATGGAGGAAGGAAGGAAAGTTGGTTGGTTAAAATATTGCTTTCTGTTCCAGGCATGTTACTCAGTATGACTCCTAAGAGTCCTTCCACTCATCAAGGGAGCAGAATTCTGCCCATTTTTTCCTGTGACTGAAAACACATTATTGAGCAATTTCAATTGACTGGGATGTTTTACCTTTGAGGGAAGGGTAGCAAAAACAATTTTCATCAAGATCTACAGCAAACGAAAGAACTCATTCTCATGGCCTCTGCCCTCCATCAACAGAAAACTTGCAGACTTAAACAGTTTATTTTGGTAAAGAGTTAGGTTGTTTATGAAATATGAAAAAGACAGATAACTTCTAAGACTCTCCTCCCCAATCCTACTCCCTGCTAATTCTGTTGTAGTGACAGAGCCAGTAGGGTAAATAACCAGTACAAATGAGAAGGGATGAATTTTAAAATGCTTTATCAACACATGATTTAAAAATAATAATTTTGATAAAATTTATCAGTTGTTCTTGATAAAATTGCTAAATAAGTAAATTTAATTGCTATATAAGTAAATAAAATTGGAATATAAGTAAATTTATTAAACATAATAGAATGCTTATAAAGAACAAATAGCAACCCACTTAATAAATGGTGAAAAATTAGACATTTCCTTGTAGCTAAGAAAAACACATGAAGTCTTCTTCTACCACTTTATCAGCTAAGTTGTTTGTGAATATTTTCTCCAGGCTGTTTCTTGTATTTGTTTATTCTCTAACAGTAAGAGCAGAAGTTCTTAATTTTGATAAGGTCTAATTTATCAAATTCTTTTATGGATTGTACTTGTATTCTAAGAAATCTTTGCCTAACTCAAGATGACTCAAACTTTCTGCTGTTTTCTATGAGAAGTTTTACAGTTTTAAGTCTGTGATCTATTTTGAGATGTGGATCAAAGCCCACTCTTTTGCATATGGATATCTAAATATTCCACCACAATTTTTTGAAAGACTATACTTTCTCAAATAAATTGCCTTTGCATTAAAAATCAATTGACCATATCTATGTGGTTCTACTCCTCGACTCCTTTTTGTTGATTTGTTTGTCTTTATGCTGACACCACATTGTCTTGATTTCTGTAGTTTTGTACCTCTTAAAGTCAAGTACTGTAAGTATTACAACTTTGTTCCTTTTCAAAGTTGTTTTGGCTATTCTAGAGTTTTTGCATTTGCATATGAATTTTAGAATCAGCTTGTCAATTTCTATTTTTAAAACCCTATTGGGATTTTTGATTGGAATTGTATTAAATCTGTAGTTCAATTTGAGGAAAATTACATTTTTTAAAACATTGAGTCTTTCAATCCATGCATTTAAATCTTTAATTTCTCTTAGCAGTTTTCATGTACATCTTTTATCAGATTTATTCCTGAATGATTCATACTTTTTAAATTACTGTAAACGGTATTTTTAAATTGAATTTCCACTTGTTATTTTAGGTATAATCTATTGATTGAGATATAATTTACATAAAATAGAATTCACTATTTTTTTTTTGAGACAGGGTCTTTCTCTGTCACTCAGGCTTGAGTGCAGTAACATGATCTCAGCTCTCTGCAAACTCCACCTCCCAGATTCAAGTAATTCTACCACCTCAGCCTCCCAAGTACCTGGGATTACTGGCACACACCACTACACCAGGCTAATTTTTGTGTTTTTAGTAGTGTTAGGGTTTCACCATGTTGGCCAGTCTCATCTTGAACTCCTGGCCTCAAGTGATCCACCCGCCTTGGCCTCCCAAAGTGCTGGCATTAAAGGCATAAGCCACCACACCCAGCCAGATTCACCAAATTTAAAGTAATAATTTTATTAGTTTTTTTAAGTGAATAGTTGTGTATTCATTACCAGTACAGGATATTTCCATTCTTTCCAAAAGATCCCTCATGCCCCTCTGCAGCCAATCTCCCACCCTTGCCTCAGGTTTCTGGCAAACACTGATTTGCTTTCCATCACTACAATTTTGTCTTTCCTAGACTATCATGTAAACAGAATAAGATAATCTAAGCCTTCTGAGTCCAGTTTATTTTACTGGATTTTTGAAAATTATCAATAATATTGTGTATATTTGTATTTCATTCTACTATACCTGAATACTTTTCCATTACATGGATGTACCACAACTTATTTCCTCATTTACATGATAATAGACATGTAAGGTGTTTACAGTTTGGATTACTAATGAATGAAGGAATTCAAAGCTGCTATGAATGTTTGAGTACGCATCTTTATGTGAACACATGCTTTCATTCCTCTTGGGTAAATGGCTAGAGTGGATGCTGGGGCTGCTCCAGTTATTTTAACAGAGAGAAGTTTATTTAAAAATTATTAACTAGTTAATCTAAAGGCACAGAGTAAACACTAAGGGATCTAAAGTATTATGGTTACAACAACTTTCAGAAACCAGCTATGAAAGCAAAGAAAAAAGGCTGGCATTGTTCTTAACATTTACATTTAGAGGTGGAGCCTCACAGAGCTGAAACTCAGATCTCTGAGAAGAAGGTATTTGATTGATGCAGGTCTAAATTCAGGCATGAGACTGGACTATGAGAGGGGAACAATTGGCAGCTGTTTGCTGATGTCTCTAAACAGGGGTGATGAGGCTGGTTTCATAGGTTGGCAAAACTGCAAACTGGTTGCATGGCCCCATCTAGGCACAAGAGAGGCTAAGTGATACAGTCTAGCTGAAAAGCGAGATGTTTAGCAAGAAGGAGAAAGCAGATTTGTGGGAAGGGGGCAGTTGCAAATAATATTCTCTGCTATATCAGGTTATATTTTTGTTAAAAGTTCCATGGTATATTGCACTTTTGCCAACTAATGTATTCTGTTCTATTTCTATGTCTGGAACGTATTATAAATGTCTTTGGAGCCAAAAATGGCCAGTTTTGGGCAATGACTCACAAGACCTTATTAGGAGTGTATATTCTTAGTTTTCAGGGTAGATACATAGAAAGATAAATTGGTTTTATACACTAGCGGTAGGCCAATTTTCTGTAAAAGGCTGCACAGTAAATATATTTTAGGCATGTAGTCCATATAATCTCTGTTGTATCTACTCAATTCTGCCATGTAGCATGAAAGCAGCCATAGACAATATGCAAATGAATCAGCAGGGCTGTGTTGCAATGAAATTTTATCGTTTCGACAATAAAGCCAGATTGTAACAACAATGAGCCAGATTTGGCCTACAGGTCATTGATTATTGACCTTTATTATAGATGATATATATCAGGCTGACCTTATTAACTATGTTAATATCCCTATTAGTAATATATCATTGCATAAAAATTACACCAAAAGATGTGGCTTAAAACAATCTTAAACCTTTATCATCCTTTATGATTTCAGTGGGTCAGGATTGTGAGGCTGGCTTAATGGGAAGGTTTAGGCTCAAAATTTTGCATGAGACTACAATCATCTAAAGGTTGTACTTAAGCTGGTAGACCTCCTTCCACGGTGGCTCACTCACATGACTAGTAAGTAAGTGATAGTCCTCAGACCCTCTCCACGGGGACTTCTCCAAGGGATCAACTGAGTGTCCCTAGGATATGGTGGCTGGTATGCCCCAGAGTGAATGACCCAAGAGAACAAAATGGAATCAGCAATATCTTTTATGACCTAGCCTGAGAAGTCATACAGTTATCTTCCCATATGCTATTGATCATACAGAACAACCGTGATAAAATGTTAAAGAGGACTATACAAGAGCATGGATACCAGAAGCCAAGGCTCTTTAGGGGCCATCTTGAAGACAAGCTACCATAATACATTTTTAGTTGTATTTTTCATCTGTATGATCTGCCATGGCCTAAGAAAGGCTAAATTGAAGCATTTGACTATTGTTTTATATCTATCTATTCACACTCATATTTTCTGATGTCCTTTGCCATCAGTGTTTTAATGCTCTAACTTGGTAAATAAAAATCAAGACAGGCATTACAATTGAATATGGTATATTGAACAGACATTACTGCCATTCCCTCCAGAACTTACTAAAATTCCAGCAAATGGAATTTGTTCATTTTAGAATCACTTGTGTTTCTTTTTTTCTCAAGGTTTTTTAAAAGTTTAATGGACAAACATTTATATATTCAA